TTTAATCTCCACAAAAACCTGTGAGGTTGATTAGGCTAAGAGGCAGTGACTGGCCCACGCTTCATGGCCAAGTGTGGATTTGGTTTCGCTTGTCCTGGTCTGGCTCTCTAACCACTATACCACACTGTCTCCCTGCAGCCTAAAATGTCTTGCGGTTGCCTCAGGCAACCCACATTCCATGCATTGCAACTGCATTGAGTCTCTCTTTACAGCTTCAAGACAGACAGGACAATCAGCGTTACATAAATGGGAATTGTCTCTTCCTCTAAGCAGCAGATGGCCTCCAGCTCATTTTTATTCTTTCCACTCTCAAACGGAGGCTGTCACGTCAATGCCAACTTCGACAACTTTCTAATGTGTCTTATGTACCTTGGAACTTAGTGGTCACTAAATCCACTCAATTTAACTGTGTTACTTTGAAAAGACAATTTGTTCCCAGACCTGGAGTGAAAAATGCACATGACCGGCGTATGAAGCAAATCAGCGCCTCTCCATCTGTCATGACAAAAGAGGTAAATGAGATTAATAGTGAAAGATTCGCTTATGTATGCCCCCTCCCAAGACATATACTCTATACTGAAGAGGGCACAAGCAAAACAGTCTGGAAGCAAATGATCTCCCATTGGACAGATTGATGGGAAATTAATGGAGGCCTTCTCCTGCTGGAGAAAGGAAAGACAGATATTCACAACCATTGTAATGATATGGTCAATACAAAGTTTCTTGGTTTGTTCCCCCGCCCCCAGTAGATTTGCTCACATTAAATTCAGGTCCATCAGTAGCAACCAGGCACAATGGCTCTCCCTCCACTGTTGGAGGCAATCTTGCCTCTGCATACCAGTTGCTGGGAATCACGTGAGAGGGGAAAGTTACTGTTGTGCTCAGGTCTTGCTTGCCGATTCACTACAAGCTTCTGGTTAGGCTCTGTGGCCCCATTCACTATGATAACCGCTATAAGCAGATATGGCTTCCCCCCCCCCCAAGAATCTTTGGAAGTGCTAAAAGTTGTTCCCTTTCCAGAGCTATGATTCTCAGAGTGGTTTAACAACCAATCCCTCCTCTCAGGGGAACTATGGGAATTGTAGTTCTGGGAGGGGAATGGGTGACTCTTAAAAACTCCCAGCACTCTTAACAAATTACGCTTCCCATGAGTCTTTGGTAGAAGTCATAACTATTTAAAGTGGTATTACAAAGGTAAAGGGACCCCTGACCATTAGGTCCAGTCGCGGCTGACTCTGGGGTTGCGGCGGTCATCTCGCTTTATTGGCCGAGGGAGCTTCCGGGTCATGTGGCCAGCATGACTAAGCCGCTTTCTGGTGAACCAGAGCAGCGCACGGAAATGCCATTTACCTATTTATCTACTTGCCTATTTATCTACTTGCACTTTGACATGCTTTTGAACTGCTAGGTTGGCAGGAGCTGGGACCGAGCAACGGGAACTCACCCCGTCGCAGGGATTCGAACCACCCACCTTCTGATCGGCAAGCCCGAGTGCTTTAAATATATGGTGGTAAATGTGGGAACAAAGATGCCTTTGGCCTGATCCAGCAGGGCTCCTCTTATGTTCTTAAACCAGACTTGAGAGTGTAGCAACATGACAGCTCAATCAACAATCAACACATCTTAGAAAACATTTGAAAAGTGGTCTGGCGATGGGAAGGGTTTGCCATGCTCGGTTTCAAGTGGGTGGATGAATGGAGAGATGTGGTCCAAGCATTGTACAAGAAGCATTTTCAGGATACCGTAGCATAGCTTCTAAGCATAGGCACCAGATCCCATAGGCCCTGGGTGCCGTGGCTCCCACATTTTGGATGAGGGGGGAGGTCACTCACAAAGTGTGCCGCGGCTACACATGCATGCCCCCTGCCGTGCACACTGCCGTGCACTCTGCCCCGCTACATGATGTCAGCATGTGTGTGTGTGATGACATAGCATGTGCACACCAGGGGCATGATGACGTAACATGCGTACCCCGTGACATGTGTGCAAACCCCAAAGACAGCGCATGGCCCCAGGCACCCGCAGACGTGGGGGCAAACCAGCGCTGCTGCTTTTGAGTGTTTGGATACCCCTAATTTGTTTTTATTTCCTTATTTAAAACATGTATTTGCTGCCTTTATGAAAGTTGCCAGGCCATTTTCAAAACTGCTTTAGCATATGATGCACAAATTTGCTAAACTGTGAGAACTGATGTCAACATCAGTTTGAGAGATGGTAGACAACAAATTGATACTTGTGATAAAAATGATCACCCAAAAAACTATAGTACAAAAGTCATATTGTTTCAGGTATAAATATAAATATAAACATAGATTACCCCTCCCTTCCTGTTTCAGGATTCAGATTACTTTCCCCCCCCCAACTCAATATATTCTACAAGTAATATTCTACAGTTCCTGGGGGGGGGGGAGTAAGAGGTAAGACTAGGCAGCAGTCAAGGTCCCCATGGGACAACATTTCATGAATGGGGTGCACTATTCCAAGTCATCATTCACGGGTTGTCCAAAGGCTTCCATAAAGTTCATAAAAGGGTAGAAGAATCTAGAATATTGGTACTGTAAAGTTTGGCAAAGAGCTATACTGGAAATATTTTCTTAAGAAAAATGAAATATTGATTATTGTTTAGATCATAGGTTATAGGCAACAATGAACACTGCAAAGGAGAAATTAGTATTCTGTATTATAGTACACAGAATATTACGTTAAACAGAAGATTCTTAATCCTAATTATAGGATATGTATGAATATTAACTAAGCTAGTCATGTTGCATGGGCTGCATTTGTTCTTTTTGGCAATTTTCATACCTCCATCGTTTTTAAACTCCTCCGTTTCCTAATCTGCTTTGTTACTGACAGAGCACCATCAATTAATAGAAGTTATCGGAGGAGGAGGAGGCGGAGGAGGGAGAAAGCAAACAGAAGGGATGAGAATGGCCATGGTGAGTTAGCATAGGGAAAGTGACAGATTTGACATGCTGCCTGGTCATTTGGGGTGGCGTGGATAACAGACAAACACAAACAAATCAGACATGCTTACACAGGAAATGGAAGAGCACTATGAGAGGTCTAGGCTAGGGGTGAGAGCAGCATTTCTCAAACAGTGGGGGTGGGACCTAAGAACATAAGATGAGTCTGTTGGAGGAAGGTCAGTGGACCATCTAGTCCAACATCCTGTTCTCACAGTGGCTGACCAGATGCCTGTGGGAAACCCTCAAGCAGGGCCTAAACCAAAGAACACTCTACCCTCTTGTGCATGGGTAGGCAAACTAAGGCCCAGGGGCCGGATCTGGCCCAATCACCTTCTAAATCCGGCCCGCGGACAGTCCGGGAATCAGTGTGTTTTTACATGAGTAGAATGTGTCCTTTTATTTAAAATGCACCTCTGGGTTATTTGTGGGGCATAGGAATTTGTTCTTTTTTTCTTTTCAAAATATAGTCCGGCCCCCCACAAGGTCTGAGGAACAGTAGACTGGGCCCCTGCTGAAAAAGTTGGCTGACTCCTGCTCTTGTGGTTTCCAGCAAGTGGTATTCAGGAGCATTCCTGCTTCCGACCATGAAAGTAAAGCGGAGCCATCATGGCTAGTAGACATAGCCTTCTCCTCAATGAATTTTGTCTAACCCTCTTCTAAAACCATCTACATAAGTTGGTGGGACGTGGGTGGCACTGTGGGTTAAATCACAGAGCCTAGGACTTGCCGATCAGAAGGTTGGCGGTTTGAATTGCCACAACGGGGTAAGCTCCCGTTGCTCGGTCCCTGCTCCTGCCAACCTAGCAGTTCAAAAGCACGTCAAAATGCAAGTAGATAAATAGGTACTGCTCCGGCGGGAAGGTAAACGGCGTTTCCATGCGCTGCTCTGGTTCGCCAGAAGCAGCTTAGTCATGCTGGCCACATGACCCGGAAGCTGTACGCCGGCTCCTTCAGCCAGTAAGTGAGATGAGCACCGCAACCCCAGAGTCGGCCACGACTGGACCTAATGGTCAGGGGTCCCTTTACCCTTTACCTTTACATATGTTGGTGGCCATGGCTGCCTCCTCTGGGAGTAAGTTTGTGTGCTGGGAGAAGAAGTGTTTTCTTTTTTTTTATCTCAGACAGTGAGCTGGGGACCTACTTTCAGCGGGTTTTGGTGTCCTGTCCTAGCTGGGTCCCAGATTGCAGTAAAACATCCAGATAACTGAGCTATTGTGGGCACAGACAGCAGCAACGTTGAGGCCAGTGTTAGGCCCGATCCCATTGATGCCATAACAAATGAACTAAGCCTTCTCGGTGGGCCCAAGGAGTGCTACAGATGACTAGCAGGAGGTTTTGCCTCCTCACCTGTTCGTTCCTTGCCGCCTGAGCTGTGAGAGGGACTGAGAAAGTAGTTTTGCATTTCCATTAAACCTTTTCCCCTCTCTGCTTAGTCTGCCAAGAAGATTGACCACTGATGTCAATTGTGGTAACAGCGGTTCAGAAGATGTCAGAAGCTGAAAAACTGTGAAGTGGAAACATTTTGAAAAAGAGGAAACGTGTCAAAGCATAGAAGCTATAATGTCAGCCTCAGTTATTAGAGTCATTTGAGAAAAGGACCATTTGCATGACAAATATTGACAAAACGGAGTCATTTTCCATCGTGCTGTTTGCATATTTACCATATCTTTTTGCAAAACTATTGGAGGGGGCAGGAAATGAGAACTTTAAAATATTATTACTTCCTCTCAGCAACTATGACAGGAGACAGACAGTGTAGGGTTTTTTTCACCCTTCTTTTTTTAGGAAAAGAGACAAAGGTGGTACAAGAGAAACATAATTCCACGCAGTGTCCAACCTGTTTTATTTTGCCCCAGTGTCAAACAACCATTGTTAGTTTATGACTTACCAGTAAACCTCACAACATTTCACTTTTATATATCCATTTAGACTTTTCTTTCTAGCTTAGATTTCCCCCCATATCATAGAACATAGAGTTGGAAGGGAGCACGATTGTCATCTAGTCCAACCCCCTGGAATGCAGGAATCTTTCCCTCAATGTGGGGCTCGAACCCACAACCTTTAGATTAAGAGTCCCATGCTCTACCAACTGAGCTATTTGTCAGATGTCAAGGTGGCTGGAAAAAGGGAAGCTTTTTCAGCCCAATGGCCATATTCCCTCTAAGGCAACCTTCTGAGGACAACAGACCAGTGATGGGCAGGGTCAAAGGCAAAAGTCAGTGGAGCAATGGATGCACATTTTACCTTTGTAGAGTAGGCAGATACCCCTCTCTATCCTCCATCCAAACAACTCCATCCAACTCCATCCAAACAGAATTATCACTGTTCAGTCACATGGGGAAAACATTTAGGGTGTGAGGCGGGACTACAGAGGGTGTGTGGCTTGGGGAGAATTCTGAAGGTCAACTAGGGAAGTCTAGAGGGATTCATTTGGCTCTGGGCCCAAGGTTCCTCGCCCATACTTTAGAGCACTTCACATTCATTATCTTCTTTGAATCCTTACAGTGACCCTGTTGAGTATGTCAATATTATCGTCTCCATTTTTCAGATGGCATGACTGGGGGAGCTGTAACACAGAGAGAGTGACTGGGCTCAAACCACCTAATGCAGGATTTGACAGAATTCATCTTTGTTGGGTCTACTTTGTTGTTGAACTGGAATCTCAAGAGCTACCAACCAGAGCCAGGTGCGAAAGACAAGCAGAATTTAGAGAACAGGGTGCCTCTGAGCACATGCTGGGTGTTATGTACTGAGTTGAATAGGATCCAAAATGCAGCAGTTTGATTGGTCCTAGAACAAGAGGATTCAGAATGCAGCAGTCTGATTGGTCCACAGGAGCCACCCAGGTGGAAGTGAATCCGCAGCCTGATTGGCCTACAGGAGAATCCCGGAATTAGCCAATCACATGGGGCCCATTGTGTAAATAATATATATAAAGCAGACATTCTGGGGGAACTTCCATTCCTCCTCACCACTATGAGCTGAATAAAGAGAATGAAATCCACTCTCAACTCCGAGTATATTTCACTGAACCTGGGGATTTGTTTTCATAACCAGAAGTGAATCTTTATTTACCCATCCCACACCAATCTACCCTGGAGGATCCTCCAACTCCCCAGAGCAGAGATTAGAGGAGCCCGGTGGGGAATGGGGGTGGAAGGAAAGGAAGGTCCTTTCTTCATCCATCAAATGCCAACTTTTGTTCTTTCCAAAACCTAATGCACCGCACATTAACTCTGAATAAAAATTCTGGGAATATTAAATTAAACAAATAGAAATTAAGATTCATGGAAGAAAATTAAAATTGTGCAAATAGAATTTTGCTGTCATTTCCCTTCTCTGGCTTATATTATATGTGCAACAGAATGAATGATGAGAAACTTGAGGCAGTGGGATAAACTTCAACACTACAGGTAAGAGAGGCAATTTTTAATGGTTCTCCCCATTCTTTTCATAGGAGAGCTTCAAGAACAAAGTCTTCTACTGTGTTAGCTTATGATGACTCTGGGGGTGGGGGGAATTTTTCACTAACCCTGGCCACCCACCATCTTAACTTGCTCAGAAAACTAATTTTGCATCTCTGCATATAAATTACCATATGCAAACTTTATGCAAATTTATGCTATGCACCAATGTTTCTCCTACTGTTCAGCCTCCTGTGATTTAACAGAAAGCTCTTTGTTTTCACTGACAGGTAAAATGTGTGTTAAAGTAACCTGTGTTTTCGTCTGATCTGAAAAGAACGGGTCAGGTCAGGTCTTGCATGCTGTGCTTTTCAAGGACACCCTGAGCAGCTGATTTGATTCGGGGCTGACTCACAGTGGTGGAATCCAATGTATGTGCTAGCTTTCCTCCCAGAGTGGGTCAGGAGAGGGTTAATTACAGAGAATCCTTGGCAAAGAATCCCTTCTGTGATACATAATAAACCTGAACTCCTTTAAGTAGCATTGTGCCTGAATGTGTGAAACATACTTGTTTCAACCTGAGCTGGCATTCAATGGATCTGCATCCTAATGAAGAATAAGAATAAGAACATAAGAAGGGGCCTACTAGATTAGGTCCTAGAGCCCAGTATGCTACTTTCACATGTGCTCTGGAAAGCCCACAAGAAGGAGCTGAGCACAACAGCACTCTTTCCACTTGGGATTGCCAACACACCCAAGGAGACTTGGGACAAGATAGATGGGTAACAGGTTGTATTTGTTAAAACATAACAACTATAGAAGGGGACGTGGGTGGTGCTGTGGGTTAAACCACAGAGCCTAGGACTTGCCAATCAGAAGGTCGGCGGTTCGAATCCCCACGACGGGGTGAGCTCCCGTTGCTCGGTCCCTGCTCCTGCCAACCTAGCAGTTCGAAAGCACGTCAAAGTGCAAGTAGATAAATAGGTACCGCTCCGGCGGGAAGGTAAACAGCGTTTCCATGCGCTGCTCTGGTTCGCCAGAAGCGGCTTCGTCATGCTGGCCACATGACCCGGAAGCTGTACGCCGGCTCCCTCGGCCAATAAAGCAAGATGAGTGCCACAACCCCGGAGGCGGCCACAACTGGACCTAATGGTCAGGGGTCCCTTTACCTTTACCTTTAACAACTATAGAATCTTCAGTCAGAATAATTTAACCAAATTAACTAATGAGGTCTGGGCAGTGAGGTGGATTGATGGGAGCATTTCACCTCTCCTATCTCCTGAGCCAGCTGCCGGCTGCACACTGTGATCACACAGCAAGGCCTGAGGAAACTCCTTCCCCCTCACTGCATGCTCCTTGGGTATATGAAGCTTGACATGCACACCATAGCTCCATTGGCGAACATTCACCCCAATGTGCCTGACAGGCCCAAACACCAGTCTGACTCCAATATTTGTCCAATGTTTTCCAAACTCCACTCACGCACCCGGACCAAATGTCAATTAGCTAGATTCTAACAACTCAACAGTGTGAAATAGGCGAAAAAGATGTGACACGGGCCAGTTAGGGTCACCCCAAATAAATTCTGGTCAGCCTCCCTCAAAGAAGGCAACTAGCAGAGCCCACCCTGGAAAAGTATACCTGAAGGAGCGTCTCCACCCCCATCGTTCTGCCCAGATACTGAGGTCCAGTGCCGAGGGCCTTCTGGCGGCTCCCTCACAGCAGGAAGCCAAGTTACAGGGAACCAGGCAGAGGGCCTTCTCGGTGGTGGCACCCGCCCTGTGCAACACCCTCCCATCAGATGACAAAGAAATAAACAACTATCTGATGTGTAGAAGACATCTGAAGGCAGCCCTGTTTAGGGAAGCTTTTAATGTTTAATAGACTATTGTATTTTAATATTTTGTCGGAAGCCGCCCAGAGTGGCTGGGTAAATCCAGCCAGATGGGCAGGGTATAAATAAATTTATTATTATTATTATTATTATTATTATTATTATTATTATTATTCTCTACCATGCCAGGCATGATTTCACACACTTCTATCATGTCATCTCTTACTTGCCTTTTCTCTCAAAATCCCCCCATACTGCAACCTTTGCTCACGATGCTGTGGTTTTCAAATGTCCCAGTGCATATAAAGGTGCTGTATAGGTTACAAATGGTTCTCTATGCATCAGTTCACAATGCACACTCCATCACTTCCAATATAATCACACTCACTTCTGCTGAGGTTTTGTGCAATATTTTGGATGGCGTGAGCCAAACGCTCTAAACTTCCTAACGCACTGCCCAAACTGGATCCAGCTTTCTTTTACTCCATATCACCCATCTCCATATGTTCTAATGTTTCGAATGTTAGGATTTACATTGTTAATTCAAATGATCCTTGCTGGCCGTGGAGGCAAAATAATAATAATTGTCATTGTTGTTTTCAAAACTCACCGCTTGCATCTCTTTCCCCGAGGAAACATTTTGACAGCTCCGTGCCCAAAATAGCACAATCGCTGCGGCAAGCTCTTTGCCACTAACTGTCGAAAATGTAAGAAAATAGCAAAGTTAAAGAGCACTAATGCATTCCACATATTCAAAATACATGAAAGAAAAGATCTCAGCGCTGGTGAAGGAAGTTTCAAAGCACATAGTCATATATTTCCCTCACTCTCTCTTTTGCTCCCCCCCCCCCCGCCGACCTTACAGTGAAAATGGCCATAATTTAAGTGCATAGATTACTGCAATTAAAGAGAGAGAGAAAGAGAGCCAAATACCTCTGTTCTTCATTTAACAATATTACACATTAAAAATTTCATCTTCATTCATAGGAACAGTGTATCTGAACCCAGATTCATGCCAAAGCTTGGACCTAAGTTCATAATGATATCTGTCAAGAGCAAATGCTGTATTACATCCTTACTGTGAAGTACAAAAGCAGGAATTGTGTGAAGACTAGGTAGGTCCACAAGATATCTTCTGAACACTAGTTGGACAGACTGGGTCATATGATAAGGCCTGACATAACACACACAAACATTCCCTTTACAAGAGCTTTCAGGCCAGGTCTTCTTCTTTCGCTCTGAACAACACAATGGTTCGATCTTGCTAGGCTTTGAAAGTGTCTCACCTTGACTGGTCAACCGTGCCACATCTTGTTTCCTCTTGGACCTTGACATACTGAATATTCCTGGGATGAAGCATGGGATTCGTTGCTTCTTCTACTTCCCAGTCTCATTTATTGAAGCAGCAGCCATGGGAAACCAGCACTCCCATGTATCCCAGCAGGAAATGACATTCCTGAAACATGCTCAGGGCACCCACACCTTGAGAATAGGACCTGTTGCTGGAGAGCCTTTCCTTTCACCACTCTACACCCTTCTCACAAGGATTAAAAATCAGGCAGGTAACCAGCAGTTAGACCTATCATGTTGGTGTCCTGATCAGCCCAAGGAAGAGCAGATATGAAGAGACAGTGCCTGGAAAGTGACTTCAATATTTATTTATTTAGTCTATAACCCACCTTTCCTCCAAGGTGCTTCTTGTGGAGTTTATGGCTCTTCGCCTCCCCATTTTCTATTCTCAACAACCCTGTGAGTTGGGTTAGACTAAGAGATCAGTTACTGTTCTCCCAGGTCCTAGTCCAACATTCTAACTAATACACCACACTGGTTGGTCACTGTGGGAACAGAAAATCGGACTAGATGGGCCTTTCCTATA